AACACTGAATGTGTTAACACAGATTTTCTTGCTATATAAAGGCATGACTTATAATGCTTGTTTATGCCACAAATGCAACTATCGTCATTAGCAGCCCTGACTAACACTCACCTAGTATCACATGTTAAGCAGTCACTTCCTTCCTCTTTAAAAAAACGGCAGGATGATGTTGCCTCACATTAGCTAAACCTAGTTGTCATACCAAGCTATCCTGAGGACACAGTCACTACTGTATTCCCTCCTACTTACAGAACATTGAACCCTTCTGAATAGAAGCAAGATCTGTGTAAAATTTTGGGTTGTGAGAGTATTAATTTTGAGTATAAATTACATCTACTTAATTAGGTAATTCATTACAATGCAAAAGGCAAAAACTGTTCATAGATCAGCACTTTAACTTGGAGAAGCTTGGTAAATACAGGCCTAGTCTAAACTGGCCCATGATTAATACAAATACAGTTATAATGTACTTTATTATGAAAATGGTAACAGCGTATCATCATTTTGACCTATGACATTTTTGAAAGGTTTTAGGCAGTATCAAATTAATTAAACTGATCTGCTTGGACCCATGGCATTACAAGCAAGGGCATTACAAGAGCAGCTGTCATCAACAGCATTTATATATAGCCTGACCTATTGAAGAAGGATCGTGGAAGGATAGAAGGAAAATGAGAGCAGAGAGTGGGGGTATGTGCTATATATGATTAAAGTAAAGGTCAACAGTGAGAGTTTCTAAATAGCAAAGATAAGGAAGAGGGTGACTACATGCAGACAGTCACACAGTTCCTGTACTGCTTCATCAAACATATAACATATTTAGCACTCAGTAGTTTGAACTGTGGTTTCAGTGTCCGGTGTGAATTATATAGTGTGAAATAAATACAAAGGTCATGGTTTCACATGCACAGTTGCTCTATAACAAGTGGTTGAACTTTACAATAATCAGATGTATGTTACAATAAGGTGTGTCAGAGTGACAATAAAACAGGAAATAACCTCATGTTGCTGGTATGTACAAGAAGGTATAAGAAGGCATGTACAGGTTTACACAATGTGGTACACTGGTGGAAATAATGTAACTGATGGTCGTTACCATCATGATACAAGTTCCTCTATTTATTTTTGTCACTCACTACACACCTCTGCTTACGTCTTCACCCTGGCCTCATTTTCATTTTATCTCTCAGCTCAGTTTAAGAAGCAACATGTTGACATGCTATTTTTCAAGATATTGCACAAGTGTTTTATCTGTCCCCATGGCTCAACTGCCTCTCACTTCTCATGCTCTCTTTCTCTCTCTTTGAATCTTTTACAGTCATAATGCCTCACGCATACCCATTCCTCAGCCCTGAGCAGAAGAAAGAGCTCAATGACATTGCTCTGAGGATTGTCGCACCGGGCAAGGGAATCCTCGCTGCCGACGAATCCACAGGTATGCTTGCATGCACTGTCAAATATTAAATGCATGCCAACATCTCTGCAGAATGCCAATGGGAATACATTGTACCAACATATGAGCCTTCTATACACACCAAACTGTCTTAATCCAATGAACTCATACTATACTGCAATTTATTTACTATTTCTTCGCACTCAATGGTGCACTACCACAACAGGCAGCATAGCCAAACGTTTCCAGAGCATCAATGCCGAGAACACTGAGGAGAACCGGAGGCTCTACCGTCAACTGCTCTTCACTGCCGATGACCGTGTCAAGCCTTGCATTGGAGGAGTCATCTTCTTTCATGAAACCCTTTACCAGAAGACTAATGATGGCAAGCTCTTCCCTCAGCTCATCAAGGAGAGAGGCGCGGTAGTGGGCATCAAGGTTGACAAGGGCGTAGTTCCTCTGGCCGGAACTAATGGAGAGACCACCACTCAGGGTGGGTTCTCCATTTGTACTTTTTTAAAGCATTAGCTGTCACACTCTTTGTCTTTTTTCTGTCTTTTATGGCTTTATAAAACCATATTTCTCTCACATTGCCCCTCAATTAGGTCTGGATGGCCTGTATGAGCGTTGTGCTCAGTACAAGAAGGATGGAGCTGACTTTGCCAAATGGCGTTGTGTGTTGAAGATTACCCCCACCACCCCCTCCAGTCTGGCCATCAAAGAAAATGCTAATGTGCTAGCACGCTATGCTAGCATCTGCCAGATGGTGAGATTCACATGTTGTCAAAAACAACATTATAAATTGCTCCATAGGTCTTTAAGCTCATTATGTTTTTACATCTCTCTCATCAGCATGGCATTGTGCCAATCGTGGAGCCTGAGATCTTACCTGATGGTGACCATGACCTGAAGAGGTGCCAGTATGTAACCGAGAAGGTTTTGGCAGCTGTTTACAAAGCCCTGTCTGAACACCATGTTTACCTTGAGGGCACTCTGCTCAAGCCTAACATGGTGACTGCTGGCCACTCCTGCTCTCACAAGTACACCCCCCAGGAGATTGCCATGGCCACTGTCACTGCCCTGCGCCGCACTGTGCCCCCTGCTGTTCCTGGTTAGTCATGCTCATACAAATGCTAAATTGCTTTAGGTTCCATCCACAGCTGCATATTTCAGTGTTCTCTGCCCATACCATTGTATAATATTGAACATACAGTAACTAATGGTTCTTGAATAGGCATATGGCAGTGTTCAGTTGGCAACTTAACAATTAAGTCTAAAATTTCCATCAGTATTTTTGTGGAGAAAGTAATTTGTATTCAGACTTTGTCTACACTTAAGTTAAGTTGATTTTCTGGGCTCCCTGTTCACAGTATGCAAATCAACTGCTTGTAGTTCATGCCTTGGTGGTTGCCAAATTTTCCATGTGTAGAAGCATGTGAGATGGGGTTTCTTAATAGTGTCTAGACCACCACATTTATACACAAACACTTGCCTTTAAGCCTGAAAAAAAAACAAGAATAGAAAATGCTGACTGAAGACAGAAATATCGCTTTATCTCAAATGGAATAAGGTGTAACATAAAAGCAAGGGACAATTTAAAAATAAAAAATGAAAAAGCAGAATATGATCTATGAATAAGAAGAAGGCAGGTTAATTTTAACAATATGGCTTCCACCCTCATTATTCCTTCATTTATAAACTAGCACTTAATCCAGCACATATTGTTTTGCTTTTTTTTTTGTATCACACGCTGACATGAAGCCATGAGATACTAAGTCTAGGTCATAGAATATGCTAAGATATAATCTATGCTAAGATATGTGCTAATATATAATCTATTTTATATTGTGGTTATACTGTCAGACAATGGCACTGGACGTAATGCTCCTCCCCCCATGAGCAGATATTGTGCAAGAAAAATGTGGTTAAGTCCAAAGTCAGAATCACACAGAACTGAGACATGCCTGTTGTACTCAAACTCCAACCCAGCATGAGTAGCTCTTGTGCAACTTCTGAATAGCGGCAACTTCCGTACTTAGGTCTGAGGTCTGTATAACAATGTGCACAATTTCGGTTTTATGCATGCAGCCCACACTGTATATTGTTCTGCTCACTGCAGTCTCCTTTTCAAATAGACCCACTTTTCACGTTTTCTCCCTATAGGTATTACTTTCCTCTCTGGAGGGCAGAGTGAGGAGGAGGCCACAGTCAACCTGAATGCCATAAACACATGCCCCCTGCATAAACCATGGGCACTCACCTTCTCTTATGGCCGTGCCCTACAGGCTTCAGCCCTCAAAGCCTGGGGAGGCAAGAAGGAGAATGGCAAGGCCTGCCAGGAGGAGTACATCAAGAGAGCCTTGGTATGTATATCTCTACACTATATGAAACTTTATCAACATTATCTAACATTAAGACCTGCCAGTGTTTTTATTTTTCAGTTGCCAATGCTTGTAGACTAAAATTGTCACCTGCTGTTTTACCAGGCCAACAGTGCAGCATGCATTGGTAAATATGAATCAACTGGTGAAAAAGGAGCAGCAGCAGGAGAGTCCCTGTTTGTGGCAAATCATGCTTATTAAAAGGCTCACAGCTTTCGGCACACCAACACTCCTGCACCATCTCCATTTCGGAAATAACTGGACTTCCAATGTTTCACCCTGCTCTCAGTGAGCATCCTCTTTTCTGTTCTCTAATTACTCTGTAGTATAGTAATAGGGGATGAGTGGTGTATTGAGAGAGTGAGAGAAAGTCATAAACTTTGTAGGTGTGAAAGACCTAAAAAATCTGCCTCCGTGTCCATGCTTTTTCCAAAGCCATAATTCAGCTGAAAAAATTCCCTGTTTTGTAGGTGTAAGATTTCTTTTTTCATATGATGATCCCACATATTCTTGTCCTATAATAGCCAAGAAATAAATAACTTACTCACCAACATGTGGTTTGCTGGTCATTCCATTTTGGTTTTATAATGTGAAATGTGTGTGGGAGGTGTTGTGACCAAAAAAAAAAAAAAAAAACTTCTGAGAACAGAACCTTTCTCAAATCAATCTTCACATTACTTAAAATTTCAGCACCTCTCACCGATTAACATAAAAAGTTATGTTGCAAAAGGTTTGGTAAATACAAATACTGAGAAATTATACTTGCGAAAGTGAAAGTATAGATAGTGTTAATAATCTTCCATTTTAATTAAATGAAAAAAAAAAATTACTCAGGTGAATAAAAATGTAAAAAGTAAATATTTTAACTTATGTAATGTTTTCGTATGAAAATTTATCTAAAACTGTTAGAAGATAAATTTAGGAACAACTACTCCTTTTTTGAAAAGATTATTCAATCTCTGTAAATAACCAATATTTACTATTAGCTAGAATGCTAATTGCTGCATAGCCAATTATGTTAGCCAGTAGAATCGATGCTAGTCTAACCTGGCATTACCAAAGAAAACAGGCTAATTTAGTTAAATATAACTAGTTATTATTTAAATTAGCAAAAGAGCTAATGTAGCTATAGAGTTGGTACTGCATTGTGTGGCATGAAAACTCACTGCAGACTACAATTGGGGTGATTCTTGAGTTTTTGTCTACATTAATGAATTTAATTGGATGGGTCAGTGGAGTAGTGGTTAGGCCTCGGCGTTCTCACTGCTGCAGCCCGGGTTTGATTCCCAGCTAGGGAACCAAGACATCCGATGTAAAAACTGTGCCAAATCAAACATGCAGACCAATGATCCGCTGTGGTGACCCCCAAGAGTATAAGCATTCAAATTCAATAACACTTGTCAAGTATAAATACAAAAAATGAATACTTAAGCATAGTAATGAAGTAAAATTACTCAAATATCTTCCACCCCTGGGTATGATTATGGGGATTTAGAATAAAATTACAGTCACTAGACTGAATTTTACTGATTTTGAAACATACACTATACGGCCAAAAGTATGTGGACACCTGACCAATCACGTCCCATTTGCTTGCTGAACATCCCATTTAAGATTCATTCCCCCTTTGCTGTTTTAATAATCTTCACTCTTCTGAGAAGGCTTTCCACTACATTTTGGAGTGTAGCTGTGGCTATTTGCCCATTCAGCCACAAAAGCATTAGTAAGGTCAGGCACATCTTGGGCAAGAAGGCCTGGCGCATAGTTGGTGTGTCAGTTCATCTCAAAGATGTTCATTGGGGTTGAGGTCAGGGCTCTATGCAGGCACACTCAAGTTCATCCACTCCAACTTTGGCAAACCATGTCTTCATGGAGATCACTTTGTGCACAGGGGCATTGTCATGTTTGAACAGGATTGGACCTGTTAGTTCCAGTGAAGGGAAATCTTAATGCTACAGCATACAAAGACATTCTAGACAATTCTGTGCTTCCAACTTTATGGCAACAGTTTGAGGAAGGCTCACATATGGGTATGATTGTCAGATGTCCACATATTTTTGGCCATATAGTGTATTTATACAAATTTTAATGACATATAATCAATGACATACAATGAGGGACAGGGTTTTTCAGTGGTGTCTAGTCCACTAACTTTTAGTAAAAGTATTTGTTTTTAAACCTGATGAAACTGGATTTTCTGAAAGAAAAAAAAAAACACAGACACAGGGAAAACATGCACATTATGCATTGTGTTCATTCCTTTTTAGCTCTGTAAGATCATATTCAGTTTCTGTGTGCTCTTACTAGACATGTTCTTCTGCCTGTTTGCCCTGCACATATCATTTACTGCACTACACTTCCTGTAGAGTTTGAGGGGCTGGTAAATGACAGCTAAAAAAGACTGTGTGGGTGAGTAGGTCATCATAAATGGAAATTTTGAGTGTAAAGTGACAACCCATCTCACCACCTCTGTCACTTGAAACCAGAGTGGGGATTTTTTTTTTGTTTTGTTTTTTTTTGCATGATGTCTGTTCATTTTCACTTTATGGCAGTGTATAAACCATTTGTATCTATGGATTTTCTTTCCACTGTCGATATATTTTTTTAATGATTTCCACTAAAACTAGTAAACTCTGTAAAATTTGGAATCACTTAAACTCTATTCAAAGGGAAGATTATAAGCAGCATTTTTTATTGCGTTATCCAGTATAACCCAGAAGAGGACGGGTTCCTTTTGAATCTGGTTCCTTTCAAGGTTTCTTCATCCCAGGGAAATTTTCCTTGCCCTTTCTTGCCACCTCTGACTCATTCTTTAGTGATTTAAATATACAGTCAAGCTAATGGTGGGAACTACAACCACACTCCAGAGACACCAATCATCTCTGCTACTTTCTTCCAAATTTTGTTTCTTCGTAATGTCTCTATACACATTTAATGAGAAGTTGTATTTGACAGGATAAGATGAAATTTTTTTTATTCCCTTTTTTTCCAGTCTAGCAGCACATAGGAACAAATTGCAGGAGAGAGCTAAAGTTGTGAGAGGGGGAATGGAAAGCTATTCGAGCCAATCACTCTCTAGCATGAACAGTTGCTGTTATAATAAACTCCACTCTTCTGGGAAGGCTTTCCACTAGATTTTGGAACCTGGCTGTGGGGATTTGCACATTCTGCCACAAGAGCATTAGGGAAGTCAGGAACTGATTTCGAGTGAGGAGGTCTGGAGCATAGTCTGCGATTCCAATTCATCTCAAAGGTGTTCAGTGGAGTTGAGGCCAACTCAAGTGCTTCCACTCCAACCTTGTATAATGTCAAGATTAAAAAAATTATTTTTAGGCAGGCTCTTTGTGGTCCAAAGATCTAGATCCAATTCTAAGAAATATTTTTTTTCATTCAGTTAAGAAAGAAAATAATAAATTTGTCAAATTATTTTCATCATATAGTATTTGATTATTCTTCACTAACATGCAGGGAAATATAACTTAAACCTATACATTTATCCTTATTTACTAAATTAAATAGTGATAACACATTGGACAAATAGGACTGTAGTAATGAGGTCAGGTCTTTTTTTACTGAGAGACAACATTTAACACTAAGTTAGGAGCCTACCATTTAAATCAAATATATTGCACCAAAACACTTACAAGCAATTAACCAAATGATATGTGAACAAGCCATTCAGATGTGTTTTAATTTCATTTCAAAAATCAAATTTCAAAAAGTGGTCTTGATTTTAAATAATGCATTCTTCAATAAGCGTTTGTGTTACTTCCTTCCCAGCTAGTTCCATCTATTGATGTCAAGAGTAAAATAGGTATGACAATAATAAATTTCACCAATAAATCATCAGTGTTCACAATACTATTACAATACTGTTAGACTTTTCACTGTTTTTCTACAGTAATATACTGTAATCAGCCTTTCTGGTATGTTACTACAGACTTGTATATTTACTGTCTTCAAGGTGTAATTATTTTCTATATTACTATGGTTAAAGCTGTTGTTTGCTTACTATTTATTCTGCTGTGGAGTTTTTTTTTTTTAATTTCTGAACAAACTATCATCAGTGGTCACCCTGTAACTCAAGTCACAAATACCCCAAATGTATCTAATAAATAGAATTATACGACAATTAGTTATGGTCCACTAGTTTGATTGGTTGAGCAGCATTCCAAGTGTGCTTATATTTAGTATTCAATTTAACAGACATCGTCACAAATCAGCTTTACCGAAATAAATACATTCAAAATATAAATTTTAAATGTATGAATTTATCCCTAATGTGCAAGCCAGAGGCGACAGTAGCAAGGAAAAACCCCCTGAGACAATATGAGGAAGAAACCTTGAGAGGAACCAGACTCAAAAGGGAAAGACAAGAGATATTGTGCAATTATAAATAAATCCCTTCTATAACTGTGCACTACATGGTCAAAAAGTGCAATTGTGTAACCAGCAAATTCATTACAGTTTTCACATGAAGTCTGTTTTGTTGAACTTATCCACTGTTCGCTGATGGAGACTGAGTGCAAAACTTTTCATAGCATTCTGGTCCAAAGCCATCTTCATGGTTTTTAAGTGGTACCATCCACAGTAATCTCACATATCTTTAGGCTGTCCGTGTGGGGCCTTCCTCAGCAGCAGTGAGTGATTTCCAATTGATGAGAACTCCAACCAGAAGTAGGGCATCAGGATGGATCAGACAGGTCCAGAGAGCAGAAGGGGACAGGATCACTGGTATCTCAGTAATAGCATGTGTAGCTCAAAGGAGAGAAAGACAGAGATAGAGGGGGAGAGTGGGGAGAGATTATTAGGTATGCTTATTGTCCCGTAATGGTTAAGGACAATGTAATTTGTGTGCAGGGTGCAAGCAGGAACTCTGGCAAGACTATCTATGACAGCACAACTAAAAGGGAGAGCCAGAATATAACACAGACATGAGGGCAACCTGGGACATAATGCAGCCAGTCACTCCACCGTCAACAAACCTGAGTGAACGTGTGAGAGTGGGGGGGCGACAGCATCCAAACATCCCAGTTCACCACAACACTCAATGCCCATGAACCCTCCAGACCTGCCCCTGTACCTAAGAAAAAACTATTCACAAAAGGCTTGACTAAACAAATATGTTTTCAGCCTAGACTTAAACACTGAGACAGTGTCTGAGTCCCAAACACTAAATGGAAGGCAGTTCCATAACTATGGCGCTTTGTAAGAGAAAGCTCTACTCCCTGCTGTAGCCTTCACTATTTGAGGTACCAACAAATAACCTGCAATTTTTGATCAACGTAGGCGCGGTGGATCATAAAAAATCAGAGGTTCGCTCAGGTACCGTGGTGTAAGACCATTTAGTGCTTTATAGGTCAAAAGTAGTATTTTATAATCAATTCGAAATTTGAGTGGGAGCCAATGCAGTGTGGATAAGATATGGGTGATGTGGTCATATCTTCTGGTTCTAGTAAGGACTCTTGCAGCTGCATTCTGGACTAACTGGAGCTTGTTTATGCACCTACTGGAACAGCCAGACAGTAAGGCATTACAATAATCCAACCTAGAGGTAACAAAAGCATGAACTAATTTTTCTTCATCATGTAGTGACATTATATTTCTTATCTTAGCAATATTTCTGAGACGAAAGAAGGCTAGTAATATTAGTAGCCTAGTAATATTATCTACATAAGCTTGAAAGACTGGAGTCAATAATCACATCAAGGTCTTTTACTGCTGCACATGATGAAACAGAAAGGCAATCCAGAGTTACTATGTAATCAGAAAGCTTACTTCTAGCTGCATGTGGTCCTAGTACAAGTACTTCTCTCTTGTCAGAATTAAGTAAACGGACGTTAATAAGCATCCAGTGTCTAATGTCCTTTACACATTCCTCAACTTTATTAAGCTGGTGTCTGTCATCTGGATTTGCTGAAACATACATCTGTGTGTTATCAGCATAACAGTGGGAGCTAATACCATGTTTACAAATAATTTTGCCCAGATGTAGCAATATAAAGAAAAGAGCAGTGGGCCTAAAACAGAACCTTGTGGAACACCAAACTTTACCTTAGAATGCGTAGAGAAGTCACCATTTACAAATTATTTACATCTACAAACTGATAACGATCAGTCAAATAAGATCTGAGCCATTCCCCTAACGCCAACAACATTTTCTAGTCTATCAATGAGGATAGTATGATCAATGATATTAAAAGCTGCACTAAGGCCAAGCAACACAAGCAAGGAGACGCAACCCTGATCAGAGGCCAGTAGGAGGTCATTTACCACTTTAACCAGTGCTGTCTCTGTACTA